CGCTTTTTGTCCTCTCAATTTTGTAAACAAAACCCCCGTCACTAAAAGGCAGTAATTAGGACTTCCCTGTCAATGGCTGTATACGCGTCACCATGTAAAAGCATTTCGAGAGAGCGAACTCTCGGTCGTACCAGGGCATTTGGAAGCATTTGCATGGTACATAATTATTTCACTGCCTAGTTTTACCGAGGTCTATGTTGAATGAGATAAATGGTCCATCGGGACTTCCAGGTTAATTTTAATGGCTGTCACTTTTCTTAAACTACGATCGCTGTATATAAATCACGAAGTGCACAAGCTGTCTTGGGGGCGGTGACCGATATCACGTGCCAAGTTACCAATCGGGATCCCAACTTTAGTCTATTTCGCGTCTACCATTTTATTGACCGTTTTGCTTACGCCTGTTACCCCTCGTGGAGTATGGGCCGCCCACTAGAATTCTCCATCCAACTCGGTCCTGGAAAATCCTTATCAGTTGTTTCCAGTTTCTATTCATCCTTTTCATGTCTGCTTCCAATTCCCGATGCAATGTGTTTCTTGGTCTTCCTCTCTTCCTTTTCCCTTCAGGATTCCAAGTTAGAGCTTGTCTCGTGATACGTTTTGATGATTTATCTAATGCATGTTCTATCCACCTCCATCGTGTTTTTCTAATTTCTTCCCCAGCCAGATGCTGTTACTAATGGTGTCTGGTCCCGAATCTATCCTTTTCCGTTTAACTTGGATTTAGTGGGTTTTACTTATCCCGAAAACCACCAAGTTGTATCTCCCATTTCTGCACCTGTTTGACTGATCCTCCCAGTTTCTCACTGTCCAGACATTCCGCGTATCTATAAAAATTGTTGCTGTGGTTGTTAAAAGGGAAGAATCTTGACTTTCATCATGAGGCGTCGTAATTCTTTTGAATGAAGGTCATTCGATTCGGAGGGCAGAGTATAAATGGTTTAAACCGTCTTTTCCGGTTAGCGGTTTTAGCAAGATTGTTTTCTATGAGATGCAGTTGCCGGTCACATTCCCAACCCTGTTCCTTTACTCAGGCTTGGGACCGGCAGTAACCCTAGAAAGACTGGGCGGAGTTATCGACAGCCTTGTGTGCCAAAGTTCACATCCGACGAGCACTATTGACCGTGAACTGACGTCTATGTTCTTATATGCTTGTGATTCACATACTTATCTCTATGCTTTACCTTGAGTACAGAAGTAGCAACCAGGCTGTACTATTTTCATATTTCACGTTATTGGTTTGTATGAATTCGTTATGATTTGTCATTGATATGAAATCATTTGTTTTTTATAGCATTGCTGAAGTTTCTCTGAGTTTCATCAAATCCAAACATTTCCCTTTCGTTGACAAAATATTGTACTCATAAAAAACTTTCAGTTTTACTTTTTATGATACAACCATGTTTTTTTTAATTGTTGCGTTTTAGCGGAACATGGAAGACCAGCTAAACGACCACATACAGAATCTCGCAAAAGCAGTGGTTCAGTTGACCATCATTCCTATAGTGTACAAAGGGATAGGAGAAGTAGTTCAATGTAAGGACTTTTTGTTTATTTTTGCGAATTTCGCAAAAGAAATTAGGTTGACGTTGTATTTTCAAATGTGTTGTACTTTTGTTCCAGAAAATGTGCGAAAAAATCGCTAAATACAACCAACAGTCCTGTAAAATCATCCATTCCGTCTTCTGATGTAGCCGAGTCAGACGCTTTTGTTCCTGTTGACTCTCAACGTGTTTCAGCTCTTCGTCTGCGTATTCGTAAACATTCCTCGGTTTTGATGTCCCCCGATTCCGTTTCTCCATCTTCCCCATCTACAACTGGGTCAACTGCTACATTAGAAGCACGTCACGTAAGTATTTGAAGTAGTCCTCCAGTTTCAGTATTTTTATTATTCATTTCACGGATACTATTGGTCTTACCGATACTTATTTCACACTTCTGAAATAAATTGTCACAAATTCTCTACTCGATTGTACATAGCAAGGGTTAAGTTCATCGTAATTTTCTTCCTCAAGTCCAGACTCTTAGCAGTACATGCATGAGATAACCACTAAGTTCTTTATGGATAGTGAAAAAAATGAGTTCAATGGGACATAAAACTTAATACTAATGACCTAATTTACTGGTTAGAATGTTACTTATGGCTGTCATGCACAACTAATAAAGACAGTGTAGATATTTTATTACCAGTATCTTCCGTGGATTCCTTACTTTGTGACAGTGATAAGCTGTCAAAATAAAGATCGCATTTAGACTTTTCCAAAATCAATTTACCTCAACGTGGTTACATTAAGTAAGCGGAAGCTTCAGTCTAATCAGATCACCTTTTCTCAACCGATTTGAACCGATGGACATTTGTGACAAGTCCTACGGTAATTATAATGACTGATCTCTATTCGTCAGCACACAATTTCGAAGATCCCCTTAAGTTTTATTCGATTGTGGATCCAGTCTTTCCACTACATCATCAGACTAGCTGTACCGAAAAGTTCCTGTTTGGATAACTCGTTTGTCCTTACACTTGATGAAACTAGTATTTTAATTCAGAACTTTGTAATGATTATTAGTCACAAAAAGCCAAAATTTTCGTGACCATATCTTAACATTTATTCCGTCACTTGTGTTTTAAAACTTATCCAATAAATAGTGTTAGCATGTTACAGCTTTTTTATACATATTTTGCCCTTATGATGAGTCTATGACACTACGATTATCAAAATATGTACTGTTGTAATGTACTAGTTTCCAACCGATTTCTCATTACAATAATACCATTTCCGTACATAATTGTTTGAAGTGTTGATTCTATTAACATCTCGAACAATTCGTTATTTTTTAAATTTTAACTCAGGGATCTGAGCAGTCGCATACTTCGTCCAACGATCCATTGAAAATTATTATACGCCAAAACACGGCTATATCTCCACTTGTTTCCGTTGAGGAGAAAACAAAATCAAGGCCTGTGGTTTCAGTGACACCTACGCGTAGTACAGCTAATGAGAATCATACAAATCAATCTGATACCCATCGCACACGTTCTACAGCGGTTGTCACTCCCCTTCTTCGGAATGTCCTTCCAGAACTCAGTGATGATTCTTCTGATTCTGTTGCTTCTACGAATGATGTGAATCTAAAGACAAATAATACTGATAATAAAGAAAAGCAATCTATTCTGGAAGAAAAAGCAGCTAGAAATAACCAAGATTCTAACCGAGATACCTATCGAACTGATAGTATTCGCCTAAGAAGAAGACCTGCGAAACAAGGACGCTATTCCACTGAATTCATTATTTTCACCAATGTTAAAAACTCTCGGAAAAGAAGCCCTAGTATCAGTCCTAAATTATCATCCCGTAGCTGGGAAAAAAGTCCAGTAAGATTTATAGCTATTCGTTTCCTTCATTTTCATGTACTTGTTAAACGCGTTGTATAATGATCGTTGGTGTTACGATTCAATATGATCAGGTGTAAATGGGAGGTAGATCACAGTGTGAACTTAAATGCAGCTTATATATTTTTATTTGGTGATATTAAACAGCGCCTAGGGTAGAAGAATCAAAAGTTGTAATAAAGACATCGGTTGTCATCTAGTTTGTTAATAGTTTTTCCTAACGGGTACCCTCGATCTAACATCAGTCCGAGTGGGATATTTTCGTCAAAAAGACTCATCCGGCTTTAAAAGGGAACCTAGTTCTTGTTATCTACAATAGGTCAATTGAAATAACATATCCTCGTCGTTTTTGGTCATTTTTTCATGTCACCTACTTCAATGGAAAACTAGTATGTGGCACAGTTGTTCACGAATTCACTTAGATTTGAATTCACTCCTTGATTGTTTCACGGAACAAACATCTGTCCATAGTTCCGGTTATGATTAATCACATTTAAAAAAACTAGGTAGTTTAATACACCTTTCGACCGAGACTTGTGTATTTGTGACTATGATATGTTTGCATATGTGTACATACCATACTGCATTTATTTTTATCTCTTCTACATGTTTTGTCGTTTATGCATACTGTTAAATAATTTTGGAACATTGTTGTTTAGTTCTTTACTGTTTAATTCATTTGAAACTTAATCGATTCACTTATATTCACACTCCCTAACGTACTGTTTTATTACTGATACAAATCATGCGATTATTGTATTCGCTTGTTCGATCAAGTAACTAAAACACTATGAGTGATGTGATTTCTGTTTCCTGTTATAGTGATAAGTGAGGATACCAGCTTAGGGAGATTAATACATTCCATAAATTTCCCCATTTTCATTTGATAACTTATCCAAATTCATTCAAACTTGGTTTACCTTGGCTTGCCAGCTTGTGCGTTTCGATGCGTAAGTGTTGTCATAATTTACTAAAGTAATTTACGCAATTTTCTCGGATTGGTGGTGATATGACGGAATACGAGTTTTATTGTCACTTAAGTTACCTGCAAAATCCGTATTTTTCCAATTGCTTGTGTCTTAGTTGAATTCTAGTTATATTTGTTTTTTGCATTCAGTATTATATAAACAATTTTACTGGATAAAAACACCTGTTTTATTGAGCAGCTAAAATCAACTCGTTGCCAGCTTGCATCAATCGTCCTTGTGAGCAGTTACCACTCCATAGTATCATATCATTCCGTTTCATCTATCGATTGGTTTTTTATTTATTCATCTCCGAACTTTCTTCATTAGGAATCATGAAATCTCTCACCATAACAATTACGACGGGAATGGGATTGCCATTCCATCTAACTTGCTTAATAATTGGAAAAATTGTGCACCAATTGTCTGTTTGTATCGTTACTTTTCTAACCAAAAATTCCATAAATAAGTTTGTCAATATTGTTACTATAATTATGTATTTACTTTAATACAGATGGAGATGACTTCCAAATCTGTTGATGTTAGAACTTCATCAGTTGTTAGGTGAGTTTTCTATCGAAAAAAGTGATACATCCAGTTCATTTGTGTAGTATCTTATTTCAGTTTCTGTGTATGTGTTTTTTGGACGCATACATTTTTTCGGATGAAATTTCTGCTTATATTCATATTAATATATTAGTGAATGGGTTGTATTATAAAAATTCATATCCGTGTTGTCCTATGCACTATATACTATACGTGTGAACTACCATAATGTATGTATGGAAACTATATGTTGTCTTTTCAGATTACCAGTAAAATTAAAGTAGACCTTGGTTTGAAGATCTCTTTCGTGTATAATAAGATATTATGATTTACTTCAACTGACCATAAAGCCAACTTTGTATTATATTGTTTTCATGATAACTAATCTGTTTCAATGGAACTAGGCATAGCAGTGATCGAATTTGTTATCTATTAATTGAAAGCTATAAGTGCTGTAACTATCAAGCTATTACTATATCATGTCTCTTAAAATGATAGAAACGGACGTTAAAAATCAATCCACTTATAATAAATCATCTTTTTACTTATGTTAATTTATTACACTGATGTGATAATTTTAGTTTTAGTGAGTACTATTGTAGTAAACGTAAACTCAGGTGAAGAAAACCAACTTATTGTTTTATGCGAAATTATACAGCGGCTTTGTAAAATATCGAACCCAGGGCCTTCCGTCTCGCGCGCGAACGCTTAACCAACTGGACCACTGTAAACTATGAAAATTATACATTAAATACACTATTTACACATCTTCCTTCAGTTGTCCTTCACATTATGACTTCTAATCATATTGTTGTTCCAATTTCTCTCTATTTCCCTTCCTGTTTTCGTATGCTGACAGTGATTCCAATTCCTGATACATACTACTTGTATCTGTCAGTATAGGTTGTGTACACTGCACTATGTGGCAATCACGCCATTAAACGTTACAATTGGAAATTATTCAAAGATGGATTCTTATTATTGTTTAAATGATTTGTGAAGGGTTAGTATGACCAATCGTGAAGAAAATAACAGGTACACATTAAGAAATGTCAGGTCTATGTATCCCTTCAACACATCATTAAGATAAAAAAACATACATATTTGTGGTGTTTATTTATTTAATTGAACACATCGATATTGTTACAAGGCGGCAAATACATATGATTTGTGTGAGTCAGTCAGTCAGCTACAACGTAGGACCAGGCACATATATGCATCGGTCCAGGTTGCCATACCTCGTTAGCACAGCAAGATGAACACCGGATTCATGGGAGTGGTTAGGTTAAAGGTGGTAATATATAGGAGAAAGATTGCATATAAGGATACAGTACCGGAATATATAATTAGTTCGTAGAAAGAAAGATATGAGGCGATTTTAATCTCTTAGTTTAAGGGAAGACAAGGAGTGTATACACCGACGCCATTGTGATCTATTCTGAGCCATGTCAGCAAGAGTCTCCAACCATCGGTTACGAAAGTCACGCGGACCCCAACCATGTAGTCTGCATCTACCAACATGGCTCAGACTAGAGGTTAGTGTCTTTAAGCACTGATGCCAGCGACCATACCACGTTGAAAGCACCGGTTCTCGTCCAATTTGTGTGAGGGCTGTGGTGCTGCCCGGGTGCCCAAACCGAAGCAGGTGGTTATCTTAGCGGGCCACACCCGGAACCTTCGACCTAAAAGTCTGATCCACAAGGCAGTGAAGCATCGTAAGGAGATGGTGACCAACTATTGGTTCATACTCCATTTGTTCCCTCAGGATACTGGAGCTCATGTGCACCATTGGTTTGGAATCAGCGTTTTGCAACTCCCCTAGGTGGACTCTCCGGGTCCACCAACCGTGTTAAAGCGCCGGACATTCGCTTCTCGTCCTCTCAATTTCGTGAACAACACCCCATTGCGAGAAGGCAGTGATTAGGACTTCCGTGGTAATGGTTGTATGCACGTGGCCATGTGAGAGCATTTCTAGAGGGAGAGTAGACTCTTCCCACTCTCGGCCGTACCAGGACATTTAGAGGCATATTTGTGATGAATTTAACAAGAAAAATCTAGTCGCCTTGTTAATTACAAACCGTACATAAGAAATTAGATTATTTGGTATGTAGTAATTAGACCACATTCAATAGTTTCCCTTTACAGTTTAGATTTTCCGAATTCAAGTAGACATTTTTTATTCTATGGAATATCCTATGCTTTGTATTGTAAATTTTGTTCTTAAGTTTTGAAAATACTTCTAATTTGTTTTATGGTTAACCAGTTAGTGTAACGTCTTGATATCTTTAATAAAATATTTTAATTGACTTCATTATGTAACCATTCCGTATACAACTATTTTTATATTTTAAATATTACTTCTAAACGGTTAATTTCGATGAAAATTCAAGTATACCAATTGATGATAGTTTACATAGTGATTTAATAAGTGTCTAAAATACCATACCTATACATTCAATCTATTGAATTATCAATAAAATAAATTGTGAAGTCTTTCTATTTACTATAAGCAAAAGTTTTAAACTGACAATTAAAACTGTCCTATTTTGATTTGTATCTGTATTTTCAGTGAATTCTACAAGTTATTGTCTGAACATCAATCTTTCTTGTTTCCCTTTATTTTTTTTCTTGATTACTCTTTTCATTTAGTTCTAATTCTACCGTTGTTGTTCAGTCAAATACTATGTCTACTTTCAACGACCAAAATATAAAAGACAAAGAACAACAATTGAAAGATTTGGACGCTGAAGAGCGCCTACTGCTTATCGATCGTTCCATTAAGTCAAGTTTGATTCAAGGTCATGAGGATATTGCCACATGTGTTGATAGGCTTGAGTTTCTTGACAAAATGACTATTTCTTTACCAATAATGGCTAGATGTTGGACAGTTGTAGAAACAATACGAAAAGTAAGTGATTATATTTTAAATCTTTTAGCAAACCATTGCTTTGATTTAGAGTTTTTCTTGTGATGGATCAGTCTCGACTTTTTTCAACCTTGTTTGCTGTATAGTATAGTATAGAAGGATTTTCCTACTTTTTATACTGTAAACTTTATATCCATCCAATGGTTTATGACTTCATCTGCCAGTTTTACAGTTATTTTAAAAATATATATATGGAAGATTAGCGTAGTAAACATATAAATTCACTCATTAGTTACTGGTCATCTTGATTTGCCAGTTTATCGTTACTACAAGGTCACACATTTATATGGCGTCCAATAATTCAGCTGTGTATATCTACTTAGCTTAAGTGGTTATCTTAATAGTAGCCAAACGAACACTAATAATGCTTTCTCATATCAAGTAACCGCTTTCATAGCAAACATTTTCATAATTGGCCCTACTTATCTACATGCAACGGTAATAACAGTCGATATAGTGAGTGCCAAGCTTGCCCGAAACCCAGGATAATACGTATGAACATTTATATTTTGTAACTATAATAGACAGCTTTCTATAAAACCCGATTTTTATTTTAATTGTAGTTAGTGAAAGAGTTTGTAAGAATGATACTGTCATCTTACCCAGCTACTTTATTCCAGTCAGTCAGCTACAACGTAGGACCAGGCACATATATGCATCGGTCCAAGTTGCCATACCGCATTAGCACAGCAAGATAAACACGGGATTCATAGAAGTAGTTAATTCAATGGTGGTAATACATATAAGAAAGATTGCATATAAAGGCATAGTACAGGAAGAAAGAATTAGTTCATAGAAAGAAAGATACGAAGCGATTTTAGTCCCATAATTTAAGGGAGGACAGAGAGTATATACACCGACGTTATTGTAATAGATTCTGAGCCATGCCACCAAGAGTGTCCAACTATTGGTTACGATAGTCACGCGGACCCCAACCAAGTATTCTGCATCTACTAACATGGCTCAGGCTAGAAGTTAGTGACTTCAAGTACTGATGACACGTTTTAGTTTGGCCGTCCCTACATTTCTTCCAACCAACTCCAACACCGGTTAGCATTGCACGTCGTGGTAATCGGTTTCCAGGCATACGTAACACGTGGCCCAACCATCTCAGTCGATGAAGATTCACAACCTCATCAACTGATTTACCACATCATGGTAGGAATGATTTAATGGAGTACCTTGACTGATGCCCGATTAATTTGTCATAATTGATAAATCTGAAACCAATAAGTCTGTATTTTTAATGGTAATGGTAGCCTGGCGCTTAAGGCATTCGACTTTCAAACACCGATTCCCAGGCTTGTCCCCTCCTCCATTTAATTAAGCTTGAATATCATTATCCTTCATATTTAGAATGTGCCTCATACCTACTGTACTTATTGTATTAGCTAATTAAATTAATTTTGATTGCAAGACATCTCTAATTTAATTTGATTTTTAGTGCCGTCGATATAAACGTTCTTTAGAAGTAAAAATTGCTGCTCAAAAGGTATTTAATAAATTTCTCCAACTCTATGCCACTGCTGATAAAAATGAGGTAAGTTTTGTCCATTTATTTAAATAGTGTGAGATGCATTTGTCATTATAGATATATTCTTCACTAGCTTGATTTCCACTAAATATGCGACATTTGTATGTATTAGTTTAGCCACCTTTTAATGCTCATTTGAAAATAGGAACAACTTGCCTTTTTATTAGCTAAAACGGCTCGTGGTCGGAAGTGATTGACAGAAATACCTAGATTCGAGTTTTTGTTCTAGTTAGTGCTCGTCGGTAGGGTATATGTACTCGTGTGACTCTCACCTTCCCCATCCGATATCGTAATGAAAACAAGTATGTTTTCAAGTCCTGTTGAGCCGTTACAAAAATTATACAGTCGGATTTTAGTATAAGTTACATTTATAGTTGGGTTATTCTTTAGGTTCTACATGCATAAGACATTATTCCTGAAAACTTACTTTGTTTTATACTTAAACTGGACTTTTTATCTAAAATAAGAATTTGCAGACAGTTCATTCTATTCCCGTTTCGTTAAGAAGTTTTTAATATTATGAACTTTCTTAATTCCTATGACAATGTTCATCTTAGGTTTTTTACGCATCACTAGGTTCGTATTACTTCGGATTAGTTCCGGCTACATATAGTCAATCAAATAATACAGTGGTTGTCTCCAATCACAATTAAAGTATGAAAATTCTTCCTTGTACAAGTTTTGTATAGCTTTCGTGACATAATCATCAAGGTTGGATGATTCTTGAGTTTTTAACAGATACTGATGTCTTGTTCGCATAAAGTATGGTGTTTTTCGGTGTGTACTGATAACTGCATAATGTTTTCAGTGTATTTATACTAAATGTTCTTTGTATGCTATAAATAAAATACTTTTATATCACCGTTTTATACATCTTTCTTTTTTAAATGTTTAGCTGGATCTTGCCCATGCTGAATTGATTAAACATCAACAGCGTCATATAAAGAAACATTTTCCTGGCTTTAATAAAGATGATTCTTTGGAAGAAACTGTATCAATGTCAGCCAATTCTATTCCTCCATACATGGGACCTAAATCTATGGCTGATTTATTCCAACTGACAACGCGTTCTACAAAAAGTGAGATAGCAGATGTTAAAAAAACTTGTCATGAATCAGGAAAAAGTACTTCAGAGATTTTACAATCTCCCTCATCTGTTGATAAAACACCTAATACATCTCAACCTTTAGAACGATTTGAATTATCGACTGTTAATATGGATACACTTACTTGTGTTGCAGTTAAGTCTCCTACTAAACATGTTGTTACCACAGTTTGTGAATCAAAATCTCATTCGTCACTCCATTCACCTTTAAAAGTAGGTTATCAAACTGATGTCTCTGTCCAGGATATACCTCTCCCTGAAGAAACCCCCACTCAGTTTATTTCACCGAAGGAAACAGCCATGAATTCAAATAATGTAATTGCCATAGGTAAAGACATTTGTGAGATGCCAATTGGAGAGGATGTTGAAGAAGAATTCGAACTTCTAGATGTTTATGAAGAACCAGAGGAACCAGATGATGCTGCTATAATCCAACAATCTGATTGTAAATTTCCTATACTCCAGTTCTCTGAGCCGGATAACTTTGTTCAAACTAAAAGTATATCTCTATCTGCTACACCTGAACAAGCTGGTTTCGCGGTGACTCCTATGTCACATATCAATTGTAGTTCATCAGCGACGTATATGGGTGCATATCATTCTCATCCTGTTATTACAAATAAATCGCTATATCCGTATCCTATTTTCCCAAATGTACAGATACAAAATCCCTTCAGGAACCATGGTCATTTATTAACCGACTACTCTTCACCATCTCATTCACATCTTCGCCAAAATGTTGACGCAACTCCACCTCAGTCGTCCTCACGCGCTTATATACCACATTCTCTTCATCCTTCAGAAGACCCTCCCCCACCTTATAGACCATATATTCCGACTCGCTGTGACCCTGAACAAACTCAAGAATTAGGAACTTCACCTGATTCATCTACAAAACCTCGAAAAGAATTGTCTCAACCTAGTAATATCACAAATAACGGAGCTATCCAAGAACTCACTTTAACGACCAAGGCATCAAATCCCAATCCCGATCGCCTCAAAGTTTGTGGTGGATCTAATAACAACAATATTTCTCGAGAAACTCGAACTCCGCCTCATCGAGGTCGTAGTCCACACGCCCTTCCACATCCATTAGAGCACTATCAACGTTATCTTAATTCTGCTCTTAACTCTGAAGATGAAACAAGTAAAAATGATACGTCTAAACAATTTACTGACAGACCTCTTGAAACGCATGACACTTTACCGAATAATCAGTCATCTCTTAATGTTTCTAAGACTGATAAAGTTGAAACTCATATTTCTCCCGTTAATGACAATCTTCATAATGAAATGCCTTTCGTTAGTCCATCTGCTGAGGATCTTGATACTCGTATTGCACGGTTGTATGATTTAGCCATGCGTAAAAATAGCATAACAGTGTCAAATACTGCTGTAGATATATCTAATGAAAATAAATCACAAAAACCCACTGCCAATCCAATTATTTCTCCCCCACCTCCTCCACCACCACTTCCTACATCTCAACGCATACTATTCACACATAGACCACAAAATCCAATTCATTCGAATATGTCTAAATGTCTGACTCCTTTGTCGTCTTCACAGCAGGAACTGCGACTGTCATCTCATAAGATAAATGACAACAACAGGAATCTTGAAAATAACACAGGACATCGAGGACCTACCAATCGCAGCAATCAAATTAGTTCTAGCTCTTTACATGAACAAATTCAGTATTTACCATCTGGTTCTCATTCTTCTGGCCCTGATAATATTGTGATTAATCCTAACATTTCGTGTGAAATGTCATTTAAAGTATCTGAACAACAAACTAGAAATATCCCTATTTCTGATTCTGCTCTGGAATTTTCTGGTATTAGCTTAGATTCTATACATCCCGCAACGCACTCATATCCAAGACGATCTTTGAATAACCATCCACAAAGTACCCGTCATTATCCTGTGAACCCGGCACATAATTACCAAACAACACCAACAACACATCCTCACTTTCAACGTTCTAATTCAAATCGTATGAAGTTGAATAGTGATCCATTACTCTCTGGTCGCCGTCATTCAGACAGAGATGATGATCGAGATATTTATTCAATGCTTGGTGTTTGAATAAAACATGATATTCTTTTAGTTTTTGCTTTTAGTTTGTTAAATAATCCATTTGTTGAACTTTACCTATAAATAATTAGATTGGTTCATTATAGAATGAATAAAAATTTATATTTTATTCTGGATGTTCATGATATAACTCTTGAGCGTCTTTCTTTCTCAATAACGCGTATATTTCGTTTCCTTTTATTTAAAAAATATATATATATCAGCAAATCATGTAAATATTTTCATAATTCTGTTTATATTTTGTCACTTCACATTTTTTTTTGTTGGTGAAAATAACAATAGAACTTATCTCAACTTGTACATTATTTGAATGATCATTATAAACAATCCAGATTATCAATGATATACGTTGTGTGTAAGTACATCAACTTTATTTCTTGTGTCAAATGGATTTTCATTAGCACTATCTTTTCAATAGGAAAAGAACAATAACTTCTAAATTGACACAAATATGATAACCTGTTTTTATGTGTTCAACTAATGGATAAAAGAATACATGATCGCTTTTTTAATGATTTATTTATACCAGCTGATAAGTTGATCAGATGTAGGTAGGTATAGTACATAGTTTCTATTAATAAAATAAGGCATATTTTTTGGAAAAAAAATGCAATTATATTTTCTCAAAACTAAATATGTATAATACATTATACGAAGAAGGTATTTCGTTAAAGAATTCATTGTTTTTTTTTTCTAACATCATAATAGACCAGGTATTTCACATCTTGACAATTTCGTAAAATTCTTAATGAACTGGATCCGAATTCTTTCGTCGATACAAACCATGCTGTAAGACAGAAAGAAAAGAATCATGTTATATGAACCGTTTTTTGTTAATCACTTAACATAGGTTACATAACCTAAAAGACTTAGATCGAACACGAATATTGATCGATATCGGGATCTGAGTGATAATTGTTCAGACAGTATTTCTATTCAATGCGTGAAGTACGCTATTCTTTTCTTTCATTAATTGCATCACAGCATCGTGGCCATCATTTAATAAAAATGACTTTAATTCTTGCAAAACTGTTCGTATCATTTAAAAATTTGCTTCAGAGGGAGCAATCATTAAGTGTGAAATATGTATCAAAGAAAATGTTAGTCGTAATGAACATAAAGCCTAGTAAAATTGGGCATTTGATCGGTCTTAGTGCTGAAATAATGTAGCAGCAATAATAATGTAAAGCACATTTTTAAAACTTTATTCTGACTTCAATTGATGACTGATATATTTTGGTGGAGTTTTGTTCTCTGAGCTCAGAGAACAAAACTCCACCAAAATCATCCACCTGAGCTACAAATCTTCACCACCATCTCAAAATCATATAAGCGTAATACGCTTTTCGTTGTTCGAAAATGGGAGAATTTCGCCAAAAGGCAGGCTTCCGCTCGAGAACAACTATATTTTCTCCATGAGTGTCTTCACCAGCATGTTCTACCAACAAGTGTAAGATATAGACTTCCAATCAACTGCCCATTAGGATGGAAAATAGCTGAGCAAAGTGGAAGAAAAATGGTACACCTAATGATAACGGATGCACACTACAGAATCCGCAAATACCAACGCGTCATAGAAGACCAAAAGATGAAGCTACAAAGGACACTTACGTCAGAACATTTGGAAATCTTGACAACAGCTATCGAGATATCATGCAAAAGACACAGAGAACAAAGAAGAAACGCCTTAAAGAAAAAACTGATCAAGATCTCAAAACCACCCATGGAAGAAAACACAACACGACCAAACCATCCAGCTCAGAGAACAAAACTCCACCAAAATCATCCACCTGAGCTACAAATCTTCACCACCATGACTGATATAATATTGATCGTAACTTAATTTGATATATGATATTTCAGCTAGCTCCATTTGTACAACGATGTTATTATCTCTTCAAGATAATAAAGGGGACTATGTGTATGAAATGTAAAAGTTAATTGATCGTACGAAAATCATAATACCATCGTATCGGTTTTTTTACATAATCATTTAACTTTAACTGGGATATCATAAAGTTTAGTGGTTGCCTCACTCCTAATATTCGTGTTTCAATTATTATTCGTGAGTTTATGACTAAACTATATCAGGTTAAAAACATTCTACTAACTGAATCACATTGCATCAGTTGGTCACATGAAATAATAGTATTTATGATCTTACTAATGTTACAATGTGATTTCTTGGTTGTTGTTCTACTGAAATTTTTATTATTATCTCATACATATTCGTATTGTAACAGGGCGTTGTCGTGTCTTATTTTTTCTTTCTAGAATAATGCAAGGAGTTTGTATTGTCAAAAAAATATGACTTGAGAATTAGTTTGATAGAATATTTTGATTATTATGACAATCAATTATCATTATCTGTTTCATGTATAGGCTTCAAAACAGATATAAAAAAAACTTACATTTTCTATTAGTTCTTGGGTAATTTTATTCATTGAAGGCCTTTTAGATGGATCGTTCGACCAACACTTAAACATAAGAACCTATAAATGTATATATTAAGCACAAAGTAAATAAATATATAAATTAATTCATTTTATCAATTTAAAAAGCCAACCAGATATTTTATGAATTTACTTACACCTGTTACTCCCAATGGAGCATAGGCCGCTGACCAGTATTCTCCAACCCACTCTGTCCTGGGCCTTCCTTTCTAGTTCTATCCAACTCTTGTTCATTTTTCTCATGTCTGTTTCGATTTCTCGGCGTAATGTGTTCCTTAGTCTTTTTCTTCTTCTTCTTCGGCCTTGAGGATTCCATTTGAGGGTTTGCCTTTTGACGCAGTTATGTGCTTTTATCAATGTGTGTCCTATCCACTTCCTCCGCTGGAATCTGGTTTGTTCTCTCCCACAGTAGGTTGGTGCTAATATTGTCTGGCCAACGGATGCGAAGTATTTTGCGAAGACAACTGTTAATAAACACCTGTATCTTCTGGATGATGGCTTTCGTAGTTCTCCAAGTTTCCGCCCCATACAGTAGAACTATCTTGACATTTGTATTGAAAATCCTGACCTTGGTGTTTTTCGACAGTTGGTTTGGGCTCCAGATATTCTTCAGTTGTAAATATGCTGCTCTTGCTTTGCCGATCCGCACCTTCACATCTGAATCAGATCCATCGTGTTCATGAGTGATGCTGGCCAGATATGTAAATGTTTTTACATTTTCCAAATATTCTCTGTCAATTGTGATTTGATTGTTGCATGCTGTGTTGTATCGGAGAATCTTGCTTCTCTCTTTGTGTATATTGAGACCTACTGCTACACTGATCGCCTTCTGCATTTGTTGTTGCATATGCGATAGAAAACTAACTCGCTAAAAAAACGCTAGCCAGTGTTCATTTTATGAATTTAAACATTATTTATGATATGGCTATCCTTGTTGATTGTTATAAGCTGAAAAAATTCGATGTACACGCTATCGTTCTGTGAACTTATTTCCTTTATAAAATCACTTTTTTGACGTATAAAATGTGACGACATTTTGACTTGACGTACATCATGGTTCAAAATATCATATTTCTTATGTGGATTTTACAATTATCAAATATCCAAGTAAGATAGTTGAACATCCTAAATATTTCAATTGATCTACATTCACCCAACATTATCATCAACTGAAGAAACTCGACGCATATTATCTGATTATTAAAACTATAGGCTACCTTTGGATTTCATGAAAAAAGGAAGTTTAGAGTTTGACATTGAGATCGTATTTCACTTGGCGGAAATGATGGATATACCTAGATAGATATATCATCTAGTAAAAAAATTCAATTCGGAAGTTAATCGCTCTACTCTTTTCAACATTAATTATCTCGCTCGATAACTACACAGCGCCTAATTGAATGTTAACTATATAAGAAAATCTGCATCGAATTATTGGTTGCTCATTTATACCCCTGATAAGAGTACGTAAACATAATACCCTTTTCTCAAAAGTCTTATAAGTATTTATTAGCGTGGAAAGCACTTGTCTTTCAATTATTGACTCGTCAGTCCAACCATCGATTCTTCTACTTCATTTTGCATACTATTATTAGCTACTATGCGAAAAGTATCTCTGAGCCGAGTACGTAAATTTGTACTTATTTTGTTGTACCAAACGACTTGAGAACAATCTATTTATCAGTGTTCAGTAGATAATATAAATATACAAATCTGAAAATGGAAAATATTTTATATTGTGATCAGTGGTTCGTTTGTTTTCTGATTGTTTATGGCTCTGTAGGTAAAATTCGTATTCTCTGGTGATTCAGTTGAAATCCATTCCGATTTTTATATGATAAATAGACTCGGTCATATCACTAATAATTTAATGGTCTACACGCAAGAATTAATTTCATTCCTAATAGATCGATTGAAAATAAAACCTTTGAGTTTATGTTCTATTATACAAAACATACCTTCATGGAACTCGGTATGCAGTATGCACGACCATCATCTCGTTGACCATCCAGTAAATATTTAATACAGTGACATAAATCCAATTCTTCATATGGATAGCATCGAGTGTTTATTTCAAATATGATTGTTCTATGGTGAAATTAACAATACAAGTAGACGGAAAGTAATTTCTAAAAATAAATTTACTAATATTATTCGCATGTAAAATAGTAAAGAATTTGGATATTGTAATAAGACTAAGATTATCAGAATTATGTGACTGTCAAAAAATATAGTTAAGGCAGGCCATAAGATTGATCCGAACACGGCTTTTGTGGTGTTGTACAAAAGTGTTAAAGGGTGTATAGTATTGTTTATTGAAGCATTGATCATACGAAAATTCAATCCCCCCTATCCGTATTCGAAAACAGTTCATTCTCACCTGAAACCTACCCTGGTAATATCCAGTGTGATGAGTTTCATTGTGTTTTTCACGTTACTTTCTTTATTATCTTTGTTTTCTCTTATCCTCCAATCCTAGAATAGTTGATCTATAATTTTTATGTATAAATGTTCTTATTAAGTTTATGTGTGATCAAATTGTTCAAAATGTATTGCTCTAATATATATCACATAGTTCTGACAAACATTGTTTTCTTATTACACTGTTAAAATAAAGAAACACGTTTATGCTAACAGGTTGTAGCTAGTATAATGGATTGTAGAAATTGTTTACATTCAGTTTGTAAGTAAATTTTTCTTCTGGAAACCTAATTTGCACTATATATAAATACTGTTTATGAAGAGACAGGATATTTGGAAACATTATATGGGCGAAATCCCTTCTCATCGTACTACAGTAAGCAGTACAATTTTTAACTGGTACCTTAACTGTGATAGGTTAAAGAATGGTAAGATTAAACGTATTTGCCCAGTATGTTGGTATCTTAGGCAGCAAGGTTTCCACAATAGATAAACCTAGTTATCGTAACGAGTTATCATTTATGCTCAGTGCTGAATCACTTTTTCCAGTTGAACCCATAACTATGTTTAATTTGTTCATACATATCCCACTTAATATCTATTTACCTACTGAGTATGATTCACACAGTTAAAATT